CACCTGGTGTAGATGTCCTGGAGGGACAAAATATGTGTTTAGGGTGTGGTAAATCAAAAAACAATATATAGTATTTTTATTTATAATTGTTGCACTGGACTTACCATTGATTCTTGTTGGATATATGGGCTAAAAGAATCCCTCCACAACTATCTTGCAGTTGTACAGTTGTGAAGTTTCTTTTATGTGCCATAACTGCTGAGTCTTGAAGACTTGAAGAGTCCTTTGAGAGATCAACATCAAATGCTGTACTACATATAACTGCATTGCTTGAATACATACATACCAATTGAAATGTGCAACTTTACATCTCTCTGTCTTTTCTGTTTGGGCACAAGAAGGCAATGTTCATTCCTCATTCGTCACTCATTCATGGTTTGACTGGCTTGCTGTGACTGATTTTCTTTGCGTTTTTGGTCTTCAGCTGTAAAACAAGAACATATTTATTGACCCCATGTTTAATTATTATTGTTGTTTAAACATATAAATGAAGCAGTTATAATTATATACTTCAAGCTCAAGTTCCCTGGCTCTCGCAGGCTCCTGAGTTCATCTGTATACATCAGATTCAGTCTGAGAAAAGGCCATCATGCAAACTCTCAGTTTCTACCTTACAACAGAGCATAAAAGAATGTGTAAGTGAGTGAGGGAGTAAAGGAATAAGATGAAGAGAAATAGGCAGAGAAAGGCAGAATTTTGTGTGTAATTTTAACAGAATGAAAGGAACATTTCAGAGTTAACATTTTATTACACAGAGGAACAATATCGTTGTAATCTCTTTCAGAACAATTTTTTTTTCAGCTGATGAACAATAAAAACATTGACAGCCAATCAGAATCCACAAGACTTTAAAGAGCTTGAGCATTTTATGGCAGACAACATAACCACAGCGCATGCTTATAATAAACAGAACAGTATCGTCTGTTGGTGTGGATGCTAAAATAGTTCTCATTATAGTTCTTGTTCTTGGTGTGAACAGCTTTAAGTGATCTGATTTGGCCAAATTAATTGAAGATCTGATTTGTCACGTGACAAGTTAAACTAGCATTTTCCAGACTCTTGCTTCTTAGACAGATTCGTTCAATAAAAATCAACATGGAAAGAAAGGCAGACTATGAGGTGTGGACAGATATCATGTACTGTAAGAACGGGAAGAGACGGTGCCAATTTGTAAAGATTAATAAAGAATATAATGGACTTAATATAAACTTTATGATATAAACACTCTGACAACTTACAATGGGCACAATCTGCTTGGTAGTTGAGGCAATGGCCAA